TGGTACATTAATTTGGAGAGGGGAAGAGAAAAACAAAATGTTTAAATAGGTATACAGTTTGACCCATTGTAACAATGAGATGTGCAAGACACTATGTTGAAAATGAACTTTACACCTTTGGCGGTGGGTGGGGGTGGGGTAGTGGGGCAGGTGGGAGGGAAGGGATGGTAGGGGAAAACAAAGGAGGAGGCAACAATGCTCGATAGGAAATGTATTCATTGCTTGCTCATGTAACTGTACCACCCTGTACAGTTATTTTTACAATAAAAATGTACAAATAAACAGTAATAAAGAAAAAGTTCTTGTGCAAAGGACAAAGGGGCAAACAATGAAAGAGCAAAATACACAAGACAATATATTGTAAATGATCTGTACAACTTGGGGTGGGGTATTAGGTGGAGGGAAGGTAAAAGAAAAATGAGGTAAGGGGTAGCAAGTTTGAGAAGGATTGTACTTATTACATTTCTTATGTAATTGTAACCCCCTCTGTACATCACCTTGACAATAAAATTTAAATTAAAAATATAAAAACTTTTCCTTAAATAAAAAAGTATAATTAATATTCTGGCTGAAATCTATATATTTAATTTTTTCTTTCACTAAAAATGAGATGTTTGTTTGATTATGATGTTCTTGCAACTTTGTTTTTGTAGCTTAACCTTTCACATGATTTACCAGAGAAATTGATTTGATTATCACTATTTTTCATTCAAAATCCATATATAGGTAAGGTAACACCAGAACTTACTATTTTTCAATCAAAAGCAGCAACACTGGTGTAATTCAAATACCACATCAAGAAGAACTGGATTGCTTTTATATGACTTTTAGAATGCTTTAAATTAGCAACACTCAAAGAAAAATAGACATAGTTTTATTAATTTGCCATTATAATCTTCACATATATTTTTAAAAAAATACTGATTTCACTTCATTCTATTGATTTTCAGTACAAACTGTTGAGTAGCTTGGCTTAAGAAAATAAATGAGGCACTTGTTCTAGGTTTCACATTCTGAATTCTGATTTATTTTATCTTTCTAGGTAGTAGTAAGTATAGTAAAATTGTACTGTCTTGAGTTAAAGAGCAGCTATTCATGTGCAAAGTGATAAATAAAGTTTCATCTTTTAATAAATGAGTAGTGGCAAAGGTTTAATCATTTCTCAAAAAATACATAAACTTTGTTTTCAGTGTGGTGATGGTGGTAGTGTGTGTGTATGTGTGTCTGTGTGTTTGTGTATGTGTGAGTTTGTCTGTGTATGGGTGTGTCTGTCTGTGTGTCTGAGTATGTGGGTGTCTGTCAGTCCTATGGCTTGAACTTAAGACTTGGATGTTCTCTCTCAATTTTTATGCTCAAAGCTAGTATTTTACAACTTTTGCGACAAAGCCACAAAAGTCAATTTGGGGTATTTTGGTAGTTAGTTGGAAGTAATAGTCTCACAGACTTTCTTGCTCAGGCTGCTTCAACTGTGATCCTCAGATCTCAGCCTCCTGAATAGCTAATAATAGAGATGTGAGCAAACATCAACAACTAGTATTTAAATTTTAAATTCTTATTTACTGCAATAAATTGTTTTTTGTTTTGAAAATGGTTAATTAAAATATCTTTGTGTGATTTAAATTACACATGAGAAAACAAATGTAAATAAGATTACTCTTTTGGTGCCTGATAATCAACAAGCATCATGCCAACACTACCAATTTTATGGTGAGTTTTACTGAAATTTTAACTATTCTATAGCATTATCTACTTCCAGGCAATTCTCATTCACATCTACATAAATAATTCTAATGTATATTTTATATATTTGAGTTAAGATTATGAAGCAGATGTTAAAACATGTTTATAGAACAACATAACCAAATTTATATCATGCTAGTGAGTGATAATCTTTAGTAATATTTATATGACGTGATTGAGTTATTATTTATACCTTATATTATATTTTCCTTTGATTCTGAAGTACAGGAAGTCCAGTATTTCCATTGTTTCACTAATCAAATAAGGTAATTACTTTTGTTATGAATTTATAAAATAATTTTAAGTAATAATGAGAAAGACTAAAGAAACTGAAGGTACAGCTCACGTGTAGAGAGGTTGCCTAATATTCACAAGACATTTGATGCCATCACAGTATTGCAAATAAGAAAAAATAAAACCTTCAATTATACTCAAATTAATCATTTATAAAATTTAAAAATTTACATTATTACACTTGTATAGAGTTGTGTTTGTATTATTAATTAATAATTTAATTATGAAATATGCAACATTAAACAATCTTCTTGTTAAGAAAATTAATTTGTTGGATTTATTATCAAAATTAATAAAATTATCTTAGATTGTACATAAATGATTTCATAGATTACCAATTATTCATAATACAATACTTTGATTGCATTTGTTAGTTAAAAATCATTAAAGCTATATCATTCATAGTGTAATATCTCAAATGTTAAAAATTAAACATATCTTGATGCTACAAAATGCTTTAGCAGTATAGATTCTTTGAAAATCTTATTAGTAAACCTTTAAACTATAAATAAGAAGCACTGAAATTGTTAAATATATCTGAAAATGGACATCATGCAATGCAAAAATGTCAATAATCATGATGATTAATAATTAAGCTTATGGCCGGGCGCTGGTGGCTCACGCCTATAATCCTAGCTACTCAGTAGGCTGAGATCTGAGGATCGCGGTTCAAAGCCAGCCCGGGCAGGAGAGACCTTGAGACTCCTATCTCCAATAAACCAACAGAAAACCGGAAGTGGCGCTGTAGCTCAGGTGATAGAACGCTCACCTTGAGCTGAAGAGCTGAGGGACAGCACCCAGGCCCAGAGTTCAAGCCCCACAACCGCCAAAAAAAAAAAAATAAGCTTATGAAATTCAATGTTATCATATGATAATAAATACACTACATCAAAGGGTGAAGTGACTGCTTTTGTTGATCATGTTTTATGTGTTTCTTCAGAGTAAATGTTGGAGATTTGTACAGAATCAGATTAATGTCCTAAGTTTTAAGAAAATATTTGAACAATATTTGGCTTTGGTGGTTTATAAACCATTTTTCACTTTTCAGCTTGTAAAGAAAGATCTTAGATTTTAAAATGCAGTTGAATAATTTTAATTGTTGTCATATCATTTATTTTGCTTCTTTTTTTATAACTACATACCCTTAGAAATTAGTCCAGAATCACCATATTTCCTTCTTTCTAGTCTTTTCAGTAAATGAAATACAATTTGGATTACTGAGGTATGGACCAAACTGAAAAAGGAGCCTTAAAAATGCAAACAAGTATTTTGCTAGTTATCTGACAAAAAAAAATCCCCTCTTTTTACTCCAGTCTACTTGTTTAAATATCTCAACACTTATTACAACAGTAAATGAAGTGTATGTATGGATGTGAGTGTGTGTGAGAGAGAATTTTCTTAGTGTACTGGAGGGCTAGGAAGCAGCTGACTTCCATTTGGAACATCAATGCTTCCTCAAGAGTTTTGTGAAAACATTATTATCTTTTCTACTTCACATTATATTATCATTAAGTTATTGTGCTTCTAGATGAAAAATACTGTGATGGGAAAGAAATGTAAAGCATATAAATCAATATTGTTCAATATTGAACAATTTGATTTTATCAATGCCTATGATAGTGCAGAAACATTATTTTCATTCTTTCACCTTAAAATTTCTGTTTCTGGTCTACTATTTCTCTCTTGCATTTTTTTTATCATTTGCTTCATAATAGATTGCCTTCACTCAAATTGATTTTAATGAATTTTGAGCTATCTTTTGAGATTTAATATGTATGTATTTATCGTTAAATATGTCTTAAAACACAGAAGTGGTTAAAAATCATTTTTTACCATTGGACTTACAGTTTACAAAAAATAGACTTGAGGAACATCTATTCAGTTTGATTCTAAACCAAGTTTTCAATAGAGAGAGAGAGAGAGAGAGATGGTCTACATAGATAATTATTTTGTATATACATATTATTTGTTTTGTATTGGTAATTATATATACAATTATTTGTTTAAAATTTGACTTTCAAACTTATTGCATATCAAGACTTATGATGATTTTGATAGAAGTTACCAATGCAATGCTTAAATTTGTCTAGAAAATAATTATTTCTAATAATATTTTACTTGCAATAAACAGTTCAAAATTCTATTTAAAAGAGCAACTAAACTGCAGAAAATGTTTCATAAACGAGGATAACAACAATTCTATTGAGGCATTTCTCGTGCTCCTGTCTGTTGGTTTTGGTCACTACTATTACTATTTTCCACATCAGACTTTGGAGACAACAGTAAGATAAAGGCAGTGTTTTTACTTGCATTGCCTTACTAGTAGAAAATTTTATGCTAGAAACTGGACTGGACATTGCAGTCAAGTATAATAAAGCTAGAAAATGTACAGAGTTTATTCAAAACTTTGAATTCCTAAAAAATGTGCAAAGCAGATTGCATACAGGATGCCTGCAATCTTAGGTTCCCAGAAAGCTAATATATGAAGATCATGGTTCAAAGCCAATATAGAGCAAGAAAAATCTGTAAGACTCTTATCTGTAATTAACCTCTAAAAAGCCAGAAGTATAGCTCTGGCTAAAGTGGTAGAACACTAGCCTTGAACAAATAAGTACAAGGACAGTGCCTAGCTTCTGAGTTCAAGCTCCAAGCCCAGCGCATGCGCCCGCGCGCGCACACACACACACACACACACACACACACACACACAAATTCACACACACACAAACCAGATTGCCTTTAAGGAAAAAGCAAATAATTGCTTCCAAAGAAGCCATCATATTGCATAATATTGTGCTGCTTTTAGATTCTATAAAACATATAAAATTCATTGACCCTCAATGATAATGTCCTCTGAAAATGAGGTTGAGATTGAAAATATAATGTGACTTTTTCAGTGACGTTTATATAATGTGTGTGGAATAAAAGAAAATATTGTATTTAACTTTATCAAAATTTCTTTTTAGCTGTCATTCCTGGACTAAAGAAAGGTACAGTAGAAACCAACATAAACCATAACCATTCTGCATGTTTCATTTTAAAATGAGCTGCTGATTTGTTTATCTTTAAAAGTTTTAGTCTTCTTTCTTCTCAAAGGATAATTTATTTTATTTTATTTATTAATTAGTTTTTTTTGATTGTGAAAATATGGTACAGAAGTGTTACAATTACATGAACAAGGTAATGAGTACATTTCTTATCAAGCATTGTTGCCTCCTTCCTTGTTTCCCCTTACCATCCCGGCCCTCCCATCACCCCGTCCCCTTCCCGTCCCCACCCCCCCCCCCCACCTCCGTTAAAGTTATAAAGTTTGTTTTTGGACATAACGTCTTTTACATCTCATTGTTGCAACGGGTCCACCTGTATCCCTATTTAAACAATTTGTTTGTTCCCTTTCATTCCCCAAATTATACCAACATCAAATGCAGTGAAAATGGACAAAGCAACAAAGAAATCATCTTATAAATGTTAGAAAAAATAGCAAGAAAGAAAAACCATTTGAGACCTTATCTTGGGGTTCATTTCTCCTACCAACAACTTATCTGACCATTTCTGCTTGTCTCAGACATATACTAGTTATTGCAAATAAGGGAAACCATGGGACCTATGTTACTTTTGGCCTGGGTTATTTCACTTGATATAATTCTTTCCATGACTTTCCATTTCCTAACAAATGGGGCAATGTCATTTTTTTGTGATGGAGGCATAGAATTCCAAAGACCTCGGAGTCAAAGCAAACACTCTGAAAACATTACAGGATGGAATAGGAGAAAATCTAGGTCTTCCTGGCACAGGCCAAAATTTTCTTAATAGAGACCCAGAAACACAAGAAATCAAAGAAAGGTTGGACAAATGGGATTGAAGGAGGTTGCAGAGCTTCTACATGGCAAAGGACATAGCTGGCAATATCAAATGAAAGCCCACGGTTTGGGAGAAGACGTTAACTAGCCATACAATGGACAAGGGTCTCATAACTAAAATATTCCTGGAACTCAAAAAATTAAATCCCCCAACAACAAATCCTCAAAGAAACAACTGCCAATAAATAAGTGGGCTAAAGACTTAAAGTGAAACTTCTCTGAAGAGGAAAGAAGGATGGCCAATAGACACATGAAGAAATGGTCGACCTCACTAGCCATAAAAGAAATGCAAATCAAAATAACATTGAGATAACTCCTCACCTCAGTTAGAACGGCTATAATCAAGAACTCTAATAACAACTGATGCTGGAGGGGATGTGGACAGAAGGGAACCCTACTGCATTGTTGGTGGTAGTGTAAACTTGTTCACCCACTCTAGAAAGTGGTATGGAGGTTCCTCAAAAGGCTCTACATAGATCTCCCCTATGACGCAGCAATCCCACTTTTGGGCATTTACCCAAATCATCACAAACAAGACCATGCTAAAGCTACCAGTACAACTATGTTTACTGCAGCATTATTTACCATATCTAAGTTATAGAACCAACCCAGATGCCCCTCAGTAGATGAATTATTCAAGAAAGTGTGGTATATATACTCATAGAATATTTTAATTTGATTGTTTCATTGAAAGATATTATTCATACATTTCATACAAGAAATATTTTGGAAGGATAAGATATTTAATAACTTGGATATCTTGCTTACCTGGATAATTTTTCCAATTACATGTCATTAATTTTTTTTTCTTGTAAAGAAGCTTTGATAGGGACATTATGATCTTTTGGTCACTTGATTTACAGTAGATGCTTTCAAACAACCTTTGAATGTAAATATTCACTTTTTCTCTGACAGTAAAAGCATATTCAGCATTTTGGCTAAGGTTTCATTAAAGGTGAAATTCTTTTATTTCTTGATTTTTATTTTAATAGTATATTTGAATTGTATAGGAATTATACATGCTTAACATAATAGTTTCATTCTTTTTTAACTTGTAAATAATTCATACAATACACTTGGATTGTCATGTTTTAGTGCATAGATTACATGTGAACACTAAGTTTGACAGAAAACACTTTAAAATAAGAAGCACACAGTTAAAATGCATATACTTTTGTGGCTGTGATTTTTTAAAATTCTATAGGTTATTCTAACTATTCCAAATATATTTGCACATATTGTGTGTATATGAAAAGTGTATATATGATTATACGTGTCAAATAATCTTAGGAAAATCCCTTTCTTATCTACTAGTGAGGCAAAATGTATTAATAATTATTGATAAAATAAAGTTTCATTAACTGTTAATGTGTACCTTTTTGCAAATTTTAGCAAAGCAAGAATTTCACTTATATCACTTTTCTTTGTGCTTTCAATAACTCATTGTTTGTAAACAGTGCTTTGTTCACTGGTTTGTTTGTGGTAATTTTTTTGCTATCTATTCTATTCTAGCTAATTTATTTTGTCAAATTATTAATGTATATTAGTAGAAAAGCTGACATGGCTCTCAGTTAACCTTCAAGGTCCTTCTTGAGCTGACTTTTCATAGTTGTTACTATTCAAAAGTCAGCTGTAAGTTAGGTATTCATTACATTAGACTTGAAATGTTGAACCTGAGTCAGGTCTAACTGTTAAGAAATGTTTGAGAATAAAGTAAGTTGCAGTGTAAGGATCTAGAAGAGACTATAGGAAAAAAGTATTCTCTTTCAACCATATTCTTTGTATTTATATCTGATGAGTTAAGAATTTTAGACAGATATGGAGGACTAACATAAATTTTTATTGTAAAGGTGATATAATACGGATTACAGTTACATAAGTCAGATAGTAAATACATTTTTTTGGAATAGTATCAACTCTTAGCTCATTTTTTCCTTGTTTTTACCCTCCTTCTCCTCTCCCCTGTCCAGTGTACAGCTCATTTCCAAAACAGTGTCTAGTGAGTATCACTACTGAATTATTTCACCTTTGTCCCACCATTTCTATGTTTTCCCTTCCAGTCCTTAAATCAGATAAATTTACATCTAAAAGAAAAGGTACAGAAATTTTAAAAAATTGACAAAAAGGGGGAAACTGAAAAGAAAAATACACCAAAAGTAAAGTTAAAAACTATTTTTTTCCACTTCTTGAGTTCATTTCAATAAGCATTGTTTCATATGATAATATGCACATAGATATTCAGCCCTTGTGCTCCTCTCCTAAGAATATCCTCCTTTGGTCTCAATGTGTGAATGTTTAGAGTCCTGTTTATCATGTCCAACTGTTATTTTTTGTCTTTTCCTAACCATTGGGTTTACTTGTACATTTCTTAGCACATTGTAATTATTACAAATGAAAGGAAACATAAAACCTATATTTCTTTGGGTCTGGCTTACTTCGCGTAATATAATTTTCTCCAAGTCTTTACATTTCTTGACAAATGAGGTTTTTCATATATCAATTAGTGTGAAAAATAATGTCTTTTCATAGGGTGATTTAGTCACATCCAAGTATTAGTGAAAATGCATGTTCATAGTTTCCATGCAAAAATATTATATTAGTGTCACAATGTTATTCTCTTTGTGTTAATTTAATATTCCTTTGTATTCCCATACCAAAGGACATAGTGAGCATTAGGTTTTGTTATTTTTGTTTAGATTACTAGTAGTGGACTAAAAAATGTCAAAAGTAAAATGAATTTATTACAAAATGTTAGCATTTTTGGTATTTTATTAACTAAAATTGCTTCTTTCAGATAACCTATAACATGTTAATTATTTCATACTTATTTTGTTATATATTGAAACACATTAAAAATGTGCTTTGCAATAAAAGCATTCTTATAATGTTTTTCTATAACAAAGGAAAATGGATGCAATTTTTTTATAACTAATCATACAAAAGTAGACTAGAGGGAGAAAAAGTATGATATTAAAGTAATTTAGAGTTATTTAAACAAAAAATAGTGTTACAATATTCATTCTGATAAAAAAGTCATTACTTTGAAGTTATGAAAGGAAAATATTTTTCAAATTTCAAGTGTTTATACTTTTATCATTTTTAATTTAGATAGATGAAATGAATCAGATTACTAGTGGATCAGTGCTTACTAGAAAATTTTTAGTTGTTTTAAAAACGTGAAATTTACCAATACTTTTGCTATAGCTAATTGACATAATAATCCTCTTCGTCCAAATCTTTTCATATAAATACTTCTTCTCAAGTGATCTTGAAATTGATTTAACTTATACAACAAAACTGTAATATATTTCATGAGTTTTATTTTACTAGGTACAAAAAAGCTAATACCTTTCATTATGAATATCAACAAAAATCATGTGATATATCTCACTATATCACCTGCATGAGAAAATATTAATGATACAAAAAGACATTGAAATAATTTTTATAACATATTGCCTCATAAAATCTGTTTAAATATTTACACCATATTAATAGTCTTATGTGAAAAATCTTAGTACTATGAGAATTTAGATCAATTTCACAGAAAACCATTTTAATTTTTCAGGTATAAACAAATGTCCCAAGTCTGTCTTTTCTTAAATACACAATAAAGCATATAATTTCAAAAATTCGGACTTACTTGTTAACCTTTCAATAGCTAAGTTCTTTCTTTATTCCAAGTAATTATTAGTGTGGATTCTATATGTATAACTTGTTTTCCCCATCCTTATTGAAATCCTACAATTCTTCCATTGCCTCAACCAGAAAAGATTCTCTGATTACCCTGTTGAAGTTAAGCTCTACTTTGCTCTAAATGTCAATTGTGTGTCAGATATTTTTCACATATTACTTGTATGACATTTATGACTATTTATCATGAATGTATTCAAAATGGAAAGCAAGTAGAAAACAATTTTTAAACTTGTGTTTCTCATAAGCATAATTATTCATTAAGTCAATAAAATTATTCCTAATAATTAACTAGTGAACTGTGAGAGTGTAAATACTCATTGAAAATGACTCCGTTTGTGTACATATAATTCCACTTCATTATTGATGGTTTTATTTTACATTATACAATATCAGAAAAAAGTGTAAATATTAAAAATCTTCTAAATATGACCATG